AAGAGTGTGACCAGCTCTTGCATTGCAGCTAGCAAAGAGTCCATCTGTCCCGTTGGGTATTCCTGGGGTGACATGGTTACAGAGCAGACCTTGCAGTCCGCCAGGAACGCGCGCGAGTGGTTGCAGGGAGCGTGCAACTGTTCAAAGAGAAGTCAGCTGGAGGAAGCTCTGTCGGTGCCTGCCCTGCCTGCATGCCGAGTCCTGGCTTCAGTCTGTGTGCCTGGTCCTTGCCCAAATACTCCTCTTTAGGGCAGACAGCTTGCGGCAGGACCATCTGCCAGAGCAGGGCACAGGTACAAGGCACTGGACACGAGCCTGAACCTGCTTTGCCCATTTGCTAAACAAAATAAGGACATAGATGAACAGTTAGACAAAATAAGGATGTAAATAGATGATTTTGCTGCTTCTTCCAAGCTAAGAGCTACAGAGAGAAGATGCTGTAGAGGTAACAGCCATGGTAGGGAAAATAAAGGAGTCCCTGCGTGAGGAGCTCCCTACGGCACGGGCAGGTAAGGGAGGTCCTGATCCCAAGCAGAAGGTGGTCGCTCTGCGAGGGGAGCGCTGAGTAGCTGTAAGACAAAACCTCCTGCTTTGTAGCTGCTGTAATACTGGCGTGTCCAGCCTGGGCCCATGAGAAGCCAACTTAACACCTCCAAACTGATGTCAGTCCTATCTTAAAGTGGGTTTTTCCTCTCTCACAGCATCACACTGTACCTGAGCCCTTCTTCCGTTCCAAGTGAAGCTCTGAGTGAGCTACAGGTTTTGCTCTGACCCTTTACCTGCCTTCTGGGTTCACAGTGCCAATGACCATGCTCTGAACCTCCTGGGAAGTGAACTTGGACTGGCTAGAGTTACTAAGCTTATTCCCAGATGTGCTCCTTGATGACTCCCAGGCTATTTGCACAACGTACCACTGTGCAAGGAAACGCTTCAGCCTCTCCATTCCTCCACAGGCCTGGGGCGAACGAAGCTGAAGAGCCTTGTCGAACGGAGCGGCTTTTAGCAACTGGCGTGGGAAGCAGGCGTTGGTACTGCTCTGGCTTATAGAGGCTGGGACAAGATTGTCCTGTTTGGGTGTGAAGAGCAGAGCGGGGGGCAAGCAGGCTCCGTGCCCCTGTCACTTCTACTGAAAGACTCCACGCATTGATGTGAGCTTTCATAACAGATACCATCATATGAGAGAAGGAAATAACACTGCTCAATCTGTTGTGCCCAGCATCCAAGAGAGTAGCTGACCTCATGTCTTGGGAGAACTGCTGGTGTAGTCTTCTGTAACAAGATGCAAGGGAACAGACAGTTCCTAGCTTTTGGGACCAGGATCTGAGAGAAGACACCTAAACCAGTGATGCTTTCCTTCTGCCGCAAGCAAGCTTTAGTTATTCTATTTGTGCTATCAGACAATCGCTTCAGTTCCTGTAGAAAAAAGACGATGGCTAAGGTGACGGAGGTGGAGGGCAGTAAGGTCAGGATACGGGGGCTCTGGGCTTTCCCCAGCTGCCGGTCCCCTCTGCAGGTCCTCTTGCAGCGAGAGCGTGCCACGCTGTCGGCTCGCCGTCATCTGAACTGAAGCGCTGGGAACAGGAGCGTTGGCAGGAGACCCCGGGGGAAGTCCCGCTTCCCTTCACGCGACGCGGTCATTCCAGCGCGACAGCTCAGCGCAGTCCGTATAGGAACTGCTGAAAGCAGGACCACGCTGTGGATGACAAGGACAGTAAATGTGATTCTGGGACACCTACATGCTAAGGTTAACAGAGCACAGGGAAGCAGGTTTGCATCCTGCCAGCTCTCTCCTGCCTGCTCCCGCTGCCAAGAGATGATTTTGCAGCGTAGATACCAGCTCCGGCTCTGTCTGCGTCCCCGGTGGGCGCCTTTCCTTCAGCGCAGGGACCAGCAGGCACCCCTTGGCCTGAGTCTGTCCCGACGTGCAAGGCAGCCAAAACCCACCCAAACTCGGTGACTGCCGTGGGGTAAATCCGGCTGGGGTACAAAGTGTACGAATAGCCTTCCGGATCCTCTCCATGACCAAGCGGGGCTGTGGAGACAGGACTTTATCTTTGTGCAGCACCTGCCAGACAGCTAATCTTGGGAGCACGTCTCCACTCCTTAGCAGGGCTGGCAAGGCCAGGAGGAGGTTGCAGCTGTGCAGGAGAGGGGATTCATCTGCTTTCCCTCATATGCATGCAAGAAAAGCCCCTGCCCGCCCTTCTCCCACCAGCATTTGCCTTTCATTTGTCTCTGCAACCGCCCTTTTTCAGCACCGCCAGCACTAAAAGCCTTGGAGAAGTTGCAGCGCAGCCAGGCAGCACGGCGGCTCGGGGGAGAGGGGGGCAGAGCACAGCCTGCTCCCCCCGCATAAGCTCCCGCATGAATTAGGGGTTAAAAAAAAACCAACAACAACAAAAAAAACAGCCTTTGTGAGCGGAGCGGGAGCAGCTGGTGCAGCAGCTGTGTCCCAAACCCTGCGTCACCCCAGGAAGCGCCTGGCCGAGGCTCCCCGGGGACGGGGAGAGCACTGCCAGCCATTCGCTCCCGCTCGGCTGTTGGGGTTGTCTTTTTCCCCCCCTCCCCAGATGGAAGAAACATTAACTGTGTGCAAACATCTGGTCTAACTGTTGCTTATGCTTTACGGTAATGATGATACTGCAGGGCAAGGGCTCTGGAGAGCGGGCCCTTGAATATTAGAAGGGCCAAGCGTTAATTAACTGTATTAATTTCCTTTAAGCAAGGCAGCATGGCTATTTGCTCTTTGCTGATGAAGAAACGAGGCACGGAGAGGCGGTGTGATCGGTCACGGACACGCAGTATGTTACTGGCGTATTTAAGGATGCAGGGATCCGGGGAAATCTCGGCGCTCCTCCACGCCGGCTGTCCTGCCGGGGAATTGCAGCTACTGCCAAAGTATCCAGCATAAAATCCTTTAAAGCCTGAAACCTGTTAGGCTGGTGCAGGGGCCCTGCATGTCAGGATCTGCTCCGCAGCCGGTCGGGGTTGGCAGTGGGGCATCTCTGGGCCCTGGGAAAGGCCTAGTCTTTAAACGCAGGTTTTATTTTTATGAAAAGGATGTCTATCTTTTTTCAATGTTTGCCTTTTCACGCAGCGGGAGGGTTATCGGCGCCCTGCAGGCGGGAGATGCTGATGGAGGGGGGGGCCCCC